ATCGCTATCACTGTCGCTACTTTCTAGCTGATATTGATAAAAAATCTTATCATTATTCGACGATATTATTACGTTCTTAGTACGAGATACTGTGTAAGATCCGGTTCAGGTTTAGCATGTGTCAAGGAAAGGAGATGGAGTAGAAGATGAACAATTGTAATCATTGACGATATTGATTGTTGAGTTCAGCGCATGCGGAAGAGAGAAGCGTAACTTGTCATCAAGGAGGATAGGGCAGGTGTTTCGGGTAAGGCAGGTTGTCGGGTGACTATTGCCGTCTACTGTGGTAGTTGTCTGTAAATCTCAAAGCAAATAAAAAACAAGTTCTTTAGTAATGATTGATATCAATGCTAGATGAGATAAGTAATGTTAAAATAGCAAATAATCATTGCACAGAAGTATTGTCATAAATATCTAACTGTTCCTTTCTCGGATCGCTCCTGATACTAAATTTTATAATATTTTCGAAGAGTTCAAATGGATGGTAGAGCGGATGTATTTATGAACAGGTAAAATATCAAAACGAAGGTGATCATTTAATGAGAATTGGATCAATCGAGCGTAATTTCAATTTCAAAAATACAGAATTGTATTTTAAATGATTGTTTTTAAAGCATGAACTGTAAATTTGTCATCATAGTCAAATGTAATAAAATCAATCACTGATTGATAGAAATGATTCAGAAATGCTTTTTTTTCGCTGGTGGCAAAGGACTGTTGCTGCACTCGATAACGATGACATAAAAAAAGCATACGATATGGCGGCATAAATGGAAAAAGTCTGAAATGATTTAAAATTTGGATATAACCCAAAGGATGTTGTATAAATGTTTAGTGCATGAAAGTTCCAATGTTTCAAGAAAATTTTGATATCATACTTGGCTTCATCTCATACGTAAGCAAAATTCAACTCAGAAAATTGAGCGCTTAGAATTTTCAAAAAAAAAAGTGAAATTGGAAACTTGCAAACAAATTAATTTAATAATTCTTAACGAAGAGTTGTATGCTTGTTCCAATTCGATTATCATTAGGGAATGCGATAAGTTACAACACTGTTTGGAATAGAAAGGTATAAAGATTAGAAGTAGTAAGAAGGTATGAGAATTAGGATTAGAAGTGAGACTGGAACTAATAGGAACTAGAACTGGAACTGGTAGGAATTAGGACTTGAACCAGTAAGAACTAGGACTGGAACTAGTAAGAAGGTGTGAGGAATAGGATTAGAAATTGCAGGAAGATATGAAAACTAGGACTAGAAGTAGTAAGAAGGCATGAGGAATAACGATTTGACAAGTGGATGTCAAACAACATTAAAGCACATTGATGAATCACCGGAAGCCTTCATTCATTAGCATAGGTCTAGTCGAATGACTTTAGAATTTATTAGCGTTACGCCTGATGACAAAGCATCCTTGGTTAGTAGCGCTGTAGGTTCCTGGTTTTGAAGTGTACTTACCAAATTATTATTTGTTTCCTGAAATTTGAAGCGAACTTCCTTCTCATCACTATAGAGAAAGAGTAAAAAGAAGACAATTTTAAATATTTCTTATAGTATTTTACAAAAAAAAAGTAGAAACGGTGAATAATAGTACACTGAGCAAAAGCTATCGAAGAGAAAATGACCAGCTGTCGTAACCTTCGATTTAGTAAATGAAACGGCGTCATTGACAACGATCAAGATGACAACAGTATCGCAATAGTGAGCTACATTGTTGCTGCAGTAGCGCGACACATCAGTTCAAATTTTGCTGACACTTCTTTGAAACAAAACAAAAAAGACAGAATTACGAATAGACCGCACGGATATTGTCATCAACTTTACCAAGTAGAAAAATTTAATGTTGTAAGGAACGATCAACTCATCATCACATCTTATTTTATTTTCATTGTAAATTTTGAAAGTTTATTTTTTTATTTCAACGTATGGTTCGTCTCTTTACCAAAAAAAGCTTTAGCAAGCTGATGTGAAATAGGCATGGAAAGAATGGCTGAGTCAATCGCGCACAGGCTATCAATGAGATTGCCGATCATTGTCGCCCTTGTCAACAGTTTATTTGAATGAAGCTGAGATCAAACAGGTTAAATTTTAACTAAACGACCGCTTTAGGTTTATTTCTTATCGATTAGATTGATACTTTTCAATCATTTCGCATACTTCTATGCTTTTGCAATATTCATCATATCACATAAAAAGGAAAAAATGATCAAAAAATATGAAATATGCACTTCTTGTGGATTTTTTTACAACAGAAAAAGTGGTAATAAAAATTCCTTAACAAATGGTCAATAATCAGTCAGTGGTCACTGTCGGCCATCTATTGACAGACAGGAAATGCGGCAAAATTAAAAGTAAAAAACAGAGAGAAACAGCTCGAGGCTATTTTCTCTTGAAACCAGAAGAGCGAGAAAAATAACACCAGCCATTCTGTCCCTTCACAAATTGGAATCACTTTACATTATTATCCTTCTTCATCAGCTGAAATTCAGACAATTATTGTCTAGTTGAAAAAGGTGGAAATTTTAATATGGTATATTGATGAAAATGTCATCGGTAACGATACCGCCATCATTTCTTGATCATTTATTTGATCGAGTGCTTAGAATTACTACTGTTACTGATATAGAAAGTTTCTATACTGCTTAAAATTTAACTTCCTTGATTTCTAAAACACAGAACGAGTAACTAAGCCTAAATCATTCTGTTCCCATAATTAAGCACTCTTAACTATCGTAAAGGATGATTTAGGCATAGTTAAATAAAATTTTATATAATTAATTTGGCTAAATGTTTAATCGTATAAGAAGGATGACGAAGTATTTGTTTATTAGCAGTAAAAGGGCGGATACAATAGGACCTTTAAAAATGGCAAAATGATATTTTTGCAAGGATTGGTAGCACTTTAGTGTGTCAATTCAATCATTAACGTGAGATATATTAACTTACAAGATTTTAAGGAATGATTGATGAAAAATATCAAAGAAGGTCTGAGTCATTGGGGTCATGTTCGAAAGAACAAAAATTAACTAATTTAGTAAAGAATTTTGAAAAGAATCATTCATACACTTTTTTACAGACAGTCCGCTTTTCCTGCTCTTTCCCGATTGGTAAAGGCATGAGAGGGCAAAGAAGATCAATACATTTTTACACTAAAGTTTGTTGAAGTTGTTGTCATTGTCATTTTCGAAACATATAAATGCAGTATAGGTTGGTCAATTACAGTTCCAAACTTACTGTAATTATAATTCCCACAATGGCAATAACAATAACAAATGATGCAATTACAATAACAATAAAAGCAAATAGAACAATAAAAATAATAACATCATTAGAGTAGCTATAATAATATTGATTATGATGACGTTGTTTGCAAAGGTAGAAGAATAGAAAGGACAAAAAATTGTGTCTACTGATGGAACTAATCTTCCTTCATCATACCGAAAGATATTACGCAAGGAAAGTTGTCATAGTTAGTGATGTCTTCACGACTCGCAAAATAATGAACAAAAACAGATTGTTCACATGGATGGATTATAAAAATAGAATTCCAAGAATAAAAATTCTTACAATAAAAAACTGTATGAGCCAATAAATAATTTAGCCCGAGTATTGAGATCTCATACTTGATTCACTGTTGATAATGATCTAAGATTACAAAAGCATGCTCAAGATTGGAAAATTTGACCAGTATGACCATTAAAGTCATTTCCTCTGACCAGTTATCAGTTATCATTCAACTGTAATCTTACAATGTAAAACTATAGTTATTATTATTATTATGACGTTAATTGCTGCCCTTTCAGTACTTCTCTCGTACCGAATGACAAATTATTAAATAATTTTGGAGGAAAAATTATGGAATTTTGCATTTGACCTATATTCTACTGTATCTTTCTTTGTAGTAATTAGTAAGTAAAACAATACTCACTAAAATATCAATTCACATCCTGAAATAGGAAAATAAGAACGGCTGGATAACCGTATCACGAAGAAGTGCTACACGTGAGCTATGGACAGAATTATTGAATTATGAATTATTATTAATACTAGAATTATTAATATTAGAATACTGAATTATTAATTAATTCTAACTTATTGTAATGCATTAGCAGCGGAGTCATTCTTTTAAAAACGGTAAGATTACTTGATTGATTGCAATACTATCAAAATGAGATAACATTCGGAATCTTTGTGATCTGAGCTTTACACTTCTCAACTTAACTCCTAATAGTAGCCTTGCATTCATTCCAATATTTAATAAAAAAATGTATAAATAGAAAATGAAGTAATCAATGAATTTAAAGAATCGTATAAAATAATTTTACTTGGGAAAAAAGAATTAACAACTAGTGCAATAACTTCTGACGGGAAAAAATGACACTGTTGTCATTGTTACAATTACATGAATGAATAAATAATTTTCTGATTTTAAATAAATACTGAATACAAGAAGAGGAAGGAGAAAGAAATACTGTGTATTCACAAATCCGAAAAGTTATTTCTCTTTTTTTTGAAGAGAAATCCTGATTTTTAAAATTTCTACATTTTGAAATTAATTAAAATTAAGGGCAAATTTTTATTGGAAACGAGACAGGAAGACGAAAAAAAAGCATGAAATAGTTAGCTATCTTTGGTACCATATCTTTTCAAGAGAATTAAACAATTCGAGATTGGGAAAATCACAAAGAACATGCATATGCACTTATGCTATGATTTAGGCTAAAAATAGCAGTAACAATAGTAATTACAATCATTATTTTCAGGCGATTACAAAACTTGGCTCTGATCGTTTGTTTTAGGTTTGATCTAAATCCATATAGGGAATCTCAGTTTGAATTAAAGTGCAATAGATTTGCTTCAAATTGACGCACACTTTATAGATTAGCAAAAGTTAACACTTTAACACACACAAAGATAGCATGTGAAGTTCAAAGATTAAAAAGTTTAGACTAAGGATTTAAGAGTTTTAGACTTTTCATGCAAGTACTTGAAAGAGACTTACCTTGGCACCGTTTAGTTTTAAATTCGTAATTTCGACTGGTTGTGGACTCTCATTCCGTTTATAAGTGCATTTTTCATTGATCGTTGCTATCTTTTTATCCGTTTCCGATAAATCAGCATTTTGCTTAGAATTGATTTGTTTGATGTAAGTTTGATTATGATAACCAGATATTGATCGTAGCTCATTTCTTATATTTTTAGCTTTCGGATGATAACAACAGAGAAGACTCTTCAACGGTTTCCCACCCATTACTGTACGACGATCAATAACAACAATCAGCGTAACTATAATTCATATCAAGCCAAAGGTACCATTTTGTTCATCTATAAAAATGTTACATGTTAAATGTTTGCATAAATATGTAATAATTTTGCTATTGTATCATCATCGTTTCCTTATCCTTTATCGGTTCGGTTTTTTTTTTTACATTTGTAATAAATATTTCTACATTTCTTCTTATCACTTGCGCTTAATAATATCGTGTATTCAGAGATTAAATAATATTGTTGTTGTGATATAATCCCATTAATTGGCCAAACTCTGTCATATCCAGATTCCTCATGAAAAGTCACTTGGCCACCCATACAGTCTCTTTCATTCATTTTCAACAATGTGCAAATTTTTGTTGCTAATTTCAACAGCTGTTAACATATGATAATGAGACTTTTACACCAAAATGTTTGAATTACTCATTCCAAATGATTCTGGCAAATTTTGCAAAATTTCTACAAAAAGAACTTCACAATTTCAAGAATCAAAGGAATTGAATGGATGGCGAAATGTCATCTTACAGTTCTAAGTGATCATTTAATTGAGGAAATGGTAATTCGAGGAACATAGTTTTGATGATAAAGACGCGAGCGTCTAACTTTCAGTAATGTTTCTCAGATCCGCCTTTACTGATTGAGGGACTAGGGATTACGAAATTATCGAGCAAATATCATTTGCCTATTCCGAACTAACGAAAGAATGAAGTTTGTGGGTTAATAGCTAACGATTGCTTCAACGATACTTTCTTTTACTTTATTCTTATCATCATTTTCGATTTTCATTTGTTCAAGTTTATTTTACCTAAATTTTATTGAAAGTAATCAAACAATTGTGCACTTTCAGAAAGTGATTAAATTAAAAAACAAAAATAAGGAGTTCAAATTTTTTTCGTGGACATAAGATGACATTTCGTTTGATCACTTCGTTTGATCAATTTTGTGGACAATTGCGGAAGGATAGAATGGGGATGAAGAATTTTGTTTGTTGGGTGAAAGTGAAAGTGCAAAGGTTGCATTGATAAGAGTAATTCAAAGTATCCAAAGAGCATTCCATAAAAATCTGTTTAAAAAGTAAACATAGAACGATGATAAGCAGCGGCTGGAAGAGATTTGAAAACAAAGTGGCAGCAATAGTAGCGGCAACAGCAACAAGACGAAGATAAGCAGAATGCTGCTGATGGTGATGGTAAAGTTTGCCGCGGGATGCTAATAACGTCCCTCAGAAGACAGTTGTTGTTTTATTACATCACGTCATATTGCACCTGCATAAGACTTCCGTTTTATAGTAACTCGTTTTATAATTTTCAAGGAAGATTATCCCAATTTCATTTCAACGATCATAATGCATTTAATGAATCAAAGGATCAGTTATAAGTAGGCCTTTGTTTTTGTTGAAATTTAACAATTCGTCAAAGGGGTCAAAGGGTACATATATCAATTCCTTTTTGTTTTGGTTATAACACTGAGATACTACATAACAATTTACGAGAGTTTTTTCATTCATTTTTAAAAGCCAAATGCAAACATTGAGCGCAGTTGAATCAATCTAGTTTTATTTGTGGTGTAGTAATCGTTTGGTTTACGGCCTTTGCCAGGCCTATACGTGAGAATTCAACAATTTGATTAAACACAGGGAATGAGTTTAGTATTGGAGAAATAGAAAGAAAGAAAATATAATATTCATTAAGCCGAATTCGGCGTCTAAGAATGAATGCAGAAAATGAAGGTTTGAAAAAATTCTCTGTAAGAAATAGAAAGGGAAAATAGAAAACATAGAAAGAAATAGAAAATGAGTCAAATTAAATAAATTTGAGGTAAAAATCGATGTATTGCTTCAAAAATAAAAATAGAAAAAAAAGGGAAGCTACTTTTATTTTTAGGAAGGAAATACAGTGGATAGTTGCATCTATTTTCCATAGAAAATGACCGCATCCAAGAGATCACTGATCGATTATTAAAATACTGTAATTTAATATCGCTTTGTTTGAATATAAGCTCGATAGGTTTATTTTTATCTTAAGCGCTATTCTGATGTTGTTTACATATTTCAAATCGAAACTTCCCTAAGTGTATAACAAAAATATTGCATTGAATGAATTCGGTGGTAAATGCATTGGAAAATTTTATTTCAGAACATGTGGAATGTTGAATGGATCGAAACTAATTAATCAACAAAGTGAGCAAATGTATACAGTATGGATGAAAAATAATGTAAAGTGAAATGTTAGCTATTACATATTCGGTGCAATTCATAGTTATTTCCAATATACCATATAAAAGTTTCATGGAATGCTATGGTTAGTAGCGTATTGATAATACATTTATCACCACATATAAATAGAATAATCTTTTAAAATGTGCCAATAGCTGTAAATGGGGAGAAATCGATTATTCGACAGCTGTTTCAATCATTTTGGGAGCTGATATTTTCGTTATCGGTATGTTCTCTACTGGTATTTCCTCTGGTGTTAATGGTATCTCCTCTGGTGGATGTATTCGCTGCAATTCCTGTAATAGCACATCAGATTCGAATCAAAAATAAAAAATCTTAGATTCTATCAATTTCAAACGTATTTCTTAAAATTGAGTTTAGAAGCTCAAATTTAAATTTCGTGCTTTGATTAGAATATTTATTTCAACATTTCTGAAATATTTCAAATATAGATCTGTTTTGTTTTCTGGTTAATTCGTCTAGCTGAAATAAATCCAAACCGGTTACTTATTAACAAGGAATATGGAGGTTCACACCAGCAGGTTTCAATATCTGTGCTAGTATAAATATTCAGAAAGTGCTATCTCAAAGCATTTTGTTTCGAGCTCAATTATCCTGAAACGATCGACCCAATTCCGTCCACCAATTCGTGAAGTCTCTGAGTTTCTCTGCCCCATACCACACCACCCCGTCCACTTTGATAACTTTTTTCGTATGCTTTCTTGCAGATTTTATATTTTGTGAAAAGTAAAAATGATGAATTACCTGTGCATTTGGCAAAATGTTTGAATTATCGGAAGAAGTGATATGAATGAGTGTACCATCCACGACGTTATTACTGGGAACAATATCTTGTTTATTCTGCACCGATTTTATCGATTCATGACTCAAATCATACGATTGGGAGTGTGATGCTCCCATGATCTTCTCTTGTCCAATTCAGGATAATCTAAAAATAATTAAATAATCGAAATAGGAAATATAAGATATTCAATACATCACACATAAAAATGGAACAGGATTTTCAAATTTCAATTCAAAAATAAACGCTATGCTGAATTCTTACAACTTTGAAACGACGATTACATCATGTTTCAATCCTTTTGGAATACTAAAAGATGGAGGGGAGCTGAAGGTGTTCGGTTTATATATTGCAATCACTGGAAGCAATTTATTGATTTAGTTTAGATAATTCATCTAAGAACTTTATAACAGAGGACAATATTCAGAAAATTTGGGATCGCAGTTCTAGCTTGTATCATAGAATGGAATCATAGGGAAGCGATATCATTTCTTGTATTATATCGTAGGTTGAGCAGGAAGAAGTAAAGTGAAAATGTCACTGAATTTTGGAGAAACCGTCTTTATATTTGAATAATGAAAGTTTTATTCAACTTATGAATTATTTAATGACAAACAACGCTTTACACAACAACATAAGGTGGAAGGGAAAGAATGAGGAAGGAAATTTAATGATGAAATCACATGAAACCATTGGTAAGTTTTATTTTTTATTGTCTGAGGAATTTCGGGTTTCCATACCGACAAATGATGACTCATCGACATTATCGACTTATCAGAAAACTCTGTATTCTCTGATAATATTAAAGCATCATTTCAAAATTGGATTGTAAAACCATCATGTAGAAAGCATCCATAACTAGTAGTACACGTATATGAATTTGACTATTAATTTATTATGGCTAGTGAATGAATATAAAAGTAAGCCTAATTACTCAGCTATCATAAGGTCCAATTGACATGGTCCAGTTGACACATAATCGCAGAAAATGTACTGCACATACTATCATCTGTAAGAGTATTGAATGGAACTTTTCTCTTAAAAAAGAATCTGTCTTAACCATCGAGTGTTTTGCTACTGTGGTTTAATGATTTCTAAATTTCAGTAAACACAAAAAGATTCGCAATGATGACTAATAATAAGATGATGTACAAAGGCATGCTGAACTGATTGATGTTGCCATTAGAAAAGTGATAAGTGAAGGAAGCAGACGAAGAGGTCGACTTTATCAGTTCCATTACGATCACACAAAAATAAATAATGCAGGTAATTGGCGTCCAAGAAAATGTGCCAACTTGAATAGAGGACATAAAGCAAGTGAGCAAGTGAATGGTGAATCGTGAACTGCGACAAATCACAAATAAAATAATGAATGAAAGGAATGAAAGCAAAGATCAGTGACCTTACACATGACTTTTCCTTTCGGGAAAAGAAGTTACCGATGAATTTGAAATCAATGGCCGGCTGTTGCACACATTCATTCATCCGATACAATAGAAGGAAGAGCAATGCAACATCATCAAGCTCAGCAACCTGTATCATCAGGCTCTAAGACTTATATACCTGTGCAGACCTTGTTGCATACATACACACATACACACACACAGACATATATATACATATATATATATATATATATATATATATATATATATATATATATATATATATATATTATTATTATTATTAT